AAAAAAAAAGAAAAAATCACAGTAGTCACTTCTATTTTTACTATAATTACTATAAAGTATATTTTAAGTTGACAGTTTTTTACATTAAATGTTTTGCTGGTTAGTTTTAGATAAAGGATCCAAAAAAAAAAAAAAAGATTGTGCATTGTGAGCGAGGATGCTTAAAGGGAAGTCCTTTGAAAATTGAAGGTAATAAGCGGAATAGTCCTCCAGTAACGGTTTGTCTGACAGCCAATGGAGTTGTGTTCTTGTAAACAGCGAGGGACACAAAAACTACTACATTAAGCCCCTTAGGACAACTGTTTTTGGAATGTTGTACTATTGAGGACACAGGCTGTTTTAACACATATTATATATTGTTTTTATCACTATGAGGTGAGCTTTCGTTGCATGCCATTATTTTGTTCAGATCATGTAATGTATTCTGAAAAAAATAATAAAATATGGTGAAAAGAAAAATGAAAATTCCCCACTTTTTCTGATTAAAAAAAAAAAAAAAAAAATAGACAACCCATGGTGTTCTTCCTGGAGTATTTTGCCACCTTTCATGAATCCATGTTACCACTAATTTTGCAGATATAAACATTTTTGTTTTTTCCCCCACAGCTTGCAATTCAAGTGTAGATTTACTGAAAATGTAAAAGGTTACTGTCAAACAACATCGCGGTATGTGTTCAGCATCTCTTTAGTACAGTGATACCACCCACGCATAGGTTTGTTGGGTTGTTTGGTGGGTAATAGACAGTAATGGGATTCAAACATTTTAGTAACCAATTCTGACTTTTTTTTCTCCCACACAGGGACGACATCATGCAGCTTGTGTCCAAGACTCAAATGCTGCCCCACCCCCCCAAACGCATGCATGTACACAGTCACACATATACACCCAAAACAATTTAGTGGATGCAATTTTACCAACCCAACTGTTAACATCAGCGATAGATATAAGTACGCAAACAAATTAGATGTGTTGATAGACATACAAGATAATTTAATAGAAAGAATTAAAGTGCTGCACTTGGCCATTTAGATGTGAAAAGTGGTTAGAGAGCCTCCTGGGGATCAATTGCCCTGCCCACTTGACACGTAAACATTACTAATCACGGAGTTCTCCCATACCAGGCAAGCATTTAGTAAAAGGAGTTCTGAAGGATTTTCCAGAAAGGAACTGCAATTAATGCATTAAATGTGTAAACCTTGTATATCACGCCAATGAGCAGCAAATGCATAAACCATTTATATAATGCCAATGACAAGCAAATGCATAAACTTGGTACATCATGCCAATTAACATTAAATGCATACATTTGATACATTATGCCAACAAGCAGAAAATACATAAACACAATCTGCCAGGTGCAGAGCTGCCGACCACGTGGTAGAGCTCTCGCACTTGAAATGTCAGAGTGGTGCAGTGTTATCCCACTCCAATGCTCTGATTGGCCGACCTCAGAAGATCTCTATCACATGGTCTGCAGCTCGGTACCTGGCAGAACTGCAGACTGGAGGCTGTGTTGGGCTCTCTCTCGCCCCTTGAAGACTACGTGGATGGGCCCCACACCCAGTGGCACACAGAGCAAGGCACTGGCCCAAGGACCCAACAGATCAGTGTGCCCTTCTTCCCTGGCAGGGATGGGATCTGCTTCCACGTCTGAATTAATGACAGGTTTGGTGAGCTTGCTACATTTTAAAAACAGATTTGCGCAAGCTAGTGCAAACCGGCTAGATCCGACCACAGGTAATATGCCACATTTAGGGGAGAGGGGTGCATTTCAGTTTTCCAACATGTAATTTTGATATATTGTCAGCCATATGGGACATTTCTGAAGCCGGACAATGTAATTTACCCCATCAAACCATATCTTTTTGAAAAGTAGACACCCTAGGGTATTTCAAACTGTGGTATCTTAACACTTTCTGTGCACCAATTCTACAACCTGCCTTTGTCAAAGCTTTGGGTAGCATTTCTTTTTTACTTTTATTTCCCCCCACACACGTACTTCAGGCCTGAATTGACAGATCATGTTATCTCCTGAGTACAGCAATACCACTCATGCATAGCAGTACTAAACACCATATTAGGGCTGCTAACATTTCAGTTTTATAAAGCATACATTTTTAAAAGGTAGATAAAATTACAAAAAATATTCAGAAAAGATTTTTCTTAAAAAAATGAATCACATCTGGTTCCCTGCATTCCACTATTACAGGATAACCCAGTGTTTGTAAGCTGTATGGTAGAGCTTGAAGCAGTCTCCAATCAGACAACGTTAATGTTACTTCCTGGTTTCGTTGGCTCAGTGCAGCTGCCCTCAAGAGGCAACAATTGCCCAGATCTTACAAATACTTCTCATTGAGCTGCATTGGGAAGTCTGTGACTGGACAGCCACAAAAGGTCTGGGCGGGGTTAGAAGGTGAGCACTTGCAAAGGCAACAGACATGAGATGTGCAGGCTTTGCAAGATGATGTTAGATATATCCTCATTGAAAAATAAAAAATAAAAATAACCCAAGTAAAAACATCCCTTTTAATTGTGTATATCTACCAAACAGTATTTTTTTTTTATTATTGTATTTGGGCAGTGGAGTGTTCCATTAAGGGGTTACTTTGATCGCATTTTTTTCAAATTCTGTCTAAATCATTCTGGCTGTTTCGCTCCTTTCTCAGTGCATGAGCTGTTCTGACACAGAGCCTGCCTCCCACCCAGCTTCATATCTCTGAATTGATTGGCACAGACTGAACCACTGACTTAAAAACAAAAACAAAATAAAAACCTATAACATTTCCTAGCACAATATGTAGATGAAAATTAATTATCTATCACTTAAGGCTAAGCTGTATTGTCACGACAGGTACCCTTTAAAATAATTTTTCCACTTCAATCTACACTCAAAACAATTATGTTCAAGCAAAAATGAGAATTGATACCTTTGTAAATATATTAAACTGAAAGAAAACAAAAAACACAACTTAAAAATCACTTTGACATAAGTATTCAGAAACTCAGTACTTTGTTGATTCACCTTTGGCAGCTAATATAGCCTCAAATCCATTTGAGTAGGATGCAACAAGATTCCACACTTGGATTTTAATTTCTGCCATTCATCTCTGTAGATTCTGTGAGGTTGGATGGGCGTTTACAGAGAGCTTTTGGTTGTGTTCAAGTCTTGTCTCTGGCTCAAGAACATTCACAGAGTTGTCCCTAAGCCACTCTTGCATTATCTTGGCTGCCTGTTTAGGAAAATTGTCCTCTTGGGGGGTGGGGGGGGAAGAGGAGAGAGGAGAGAGGGGTGAACCTTTGGCCTAGTCTGAGATTCTGAGCACTCTTGACCAAGTTTTCATTAAGGATATCTCTATATCTGGCTCCCTTCAGCTTTCCCCCACTCACGATAGGTCTCCCAGCCCCTGCCAATGAAAGCACCTAAAAAAACATGTTGCTACCACCATCATGCTTCACCATTAGTATGGTATTGCGCAGGTGATGAGCGATGATTCTCCAGACAAAATGCATTGAATTGAAGCCAAACAATGTAATCATAAGACGAGAGAAACTTGCCTCTCTCAGAGTACTTTAGATGCTCTTTTGCAAATTTCAAGAAAGACTCCCACGTGAGGATAGGATGCCATAAAGGCCAGATTGGGTTAGCTCCAAAGATCACATGTGGAGATGTTAGAAACTTGTGGAAGGACAACCATCGCTGCAACACTCCACTATTGTGACCATCTGATTCTTGGTCCCTTGTCTTACCAAGGCTCTTCTTTCTCAGTTTAGCCGGGTGGAATACTCATGGTTGTTCCAAAATTTCTTAAACCTTATGGAGGCCACTGTACTCTTAAAAACCTTCAAATTAACCAAACATTTTGAAGACTTCCCTTAATCGCTGCCTCAAATAGTCATATCTCTTTAACATCATGGCTTGATGTTTGCTCAAATATGCATTTAGAGCTAGGACACTTAATATAGATGGGTCTTTCCAAATCATGTTCAAAACACATTGAATTTGCCACATTTGAACTCAAATCAAAGTATAAAAACATTTATTATATAATGGAAATGGGATCTGAGCTAAATTTCAAGTGCCATGGCAAAGGGTCAGAGAAACTTCTTTTTAAGAAGCTTGCAACATTTAAAAAAAAAAAAAATCAAGTACTGTGGATCTAAATACTTATGTCAAATGTGAGATTTTTTTATTATGTTTAATATATTTGCTATGGAAACTCCCTAGTCAGTGTAGGGGCGGTTCAAATGCCAGCATGCTGGCAACATGGCCTGTCAAAGCAGACTGTAGGAGGAGCTGAGGACAGACCGGAGGTGGAATTTACATGAAGAGTAACACCCATTAAAGTTGAGCCATGAAGCAGAGGAAATGGCAGTGGTGGAAAAGGCTATGATGAGTAAAATCTCAGTATTTTGCACTGAATGAATCATTTATCTCTACTATACATGTATACAATGTATTTGAGCGGATTTTAGCTACAGCTTTGAAATACAAGTTTTTAGTTTACAAAGGTCAGTTCATTGTTAGAGTTCCCAGATATGATGGGACCTCATAACATACATTTCAAAAAGAGGGACATGTTTAATTTCTCTAGCAAGGTGTTGGGGGAGGGGCTGGCATTTATTTCTAAATTATTTTATGAATGATTTATTAAAACTAAGCAAGCAACTACAAACAAGGTTGAAGTATATGTATATAGACTAATTTATGTCTAAACCCAATTCGTTAAAAACCCTGATATTTCAAATATAAGCTTATAGTAGAGATTCTTTATATAACCAAGGCATTTGGATCCAATTAATTGTGGCACACCTCTGTAAGCAGAACACATGGGAGATAAGCAACTAAACTTAAAACTTTTTTTCAGTAATTCTAATTATGTACTTCTTATTTTCGCGAGGCCAGAAATTTATACATAGCTGCATCAGCTACCGGATTCCTACGGATCAACTTGTCCAGACAGCTCTATATAGATGAATGTCAATAATTAAGATAGAAACATTACACATTTTATACATTTTTTGTTTTATTAAGTACCAAATTATAGTCAACATAAGTTATATTTTGATTAGGATTTTAAAGAGCAAACCGATTAATCTAAATTGGGTACACTGAATACAGTCTTTTGTAGTTATACAATATATATATATTTGTGTGTATTTAACCCATCAACAAATCATGTACCTTGTATCATTGGTTTACAATTTAGACTTATAGTAGCAAAAACATAAAAAAGGAAAGCAAACATTGCATTAAAAGAAAAACAAAAATATAGCACAACTTCTTAGAAAATGAGGTTTGGAACATTATGAAGTCATTCCCCCATATTAATGTTTCTATACAAATCTCCATTATACCATTTCCCTGTTATTTCGGATTGCACAACAGAGAACCATGCTGAAGATCATGCCAAATATCTGGAAAAGAAAAGAGACATAAATTCATTAAAAAAAAAAAAAAAAGTCTCTTTAACGTGGATATTTGTACATTTATAAGTTAGCAGGGATCAGAGAGAGTCCAACTCCTTTCAAGAAACGTCAACTTTTGAAATTGGACTCATGATGAAATTTCAAACAGTTTCAGTTTGAACTAAAAAGGATCAGTAATGTAAAATTTTAGCTCCTCCCTTGATGGAGAACTATTTTAGATGGGAATTATTCCAGCGAACGTGCTCAGCCAATGACTTCTGTCCAAATACGGACAAAATAAATACTGTAAATGCGGTTTCTCTGGGTGCTCACAATACTAAGCTTAAGTTTCCATTCCACTTTAAGTATGATTGAAAATGGTGTGCCTATATACTGTATTTCTACTGAAGTACTTCTCAACTACTTAGATAGATCATGAATGTAACAGCTGTAAACCCAGCATCACACTTATTAGGAGACTATCTTTTATCTGTTAACCCAGTCACATAACTTGCATTTACCTTTTATGGGATGATCATTTTTTTTTTTTTTTAAATGTAGCTTTAAAGATTAAGCAACTGACTTCACAATCCTACTCAGTCCTGGCACGGTCAGTTCAAAGTTTACATTGGAGAAGAAACAGAACACATTGTCTCTGTTTCACCTTCTCCACCTTCACCTCCATGTGGATATTGGAAGCAAACTGTATGGATATCTCTCTGCTGATGGGTTGGCACAGAGGCTGATTTATATCAACAGTAAAAGGCAGAGCCCAAATGAAGGCCCTCCTTTCCAAACTAGAGGTAACTGAAGTATTGAGGATTTCTACATTTTATCTTTCAGATTCCACTTTAAAGTTGAAGGGACTGAAAATCTCTGAACGGTCTGTGAATGTTCAACTGTGAATAACTGCTCAATTTAGTGAAATTAATTTAAACTATTTCATGGAACAATACTGCTGCATGCAATGAGAAATAACATTCACAAACATTTCAAGTTATAAACCAATATTCTACAAGAGTGCTGTCTAACTTCATAAGTGTTAAATCCCTTTATATTTATTTCAATCACTCTCTCATATATCCACCTCCCTTCCCTTATTTCAGCTCTTCCTCCCATGGATATTCTCACATTCTCTTTTAATCACCAATTTCCTTTAACATTCCCAACTCAGCTCATTCCAGCTTTACATTATAGTCATCACCCTTCCCCTGCTTAGTATGGTCCCTTTTCCTTTAAAATCAGCTCTCTCATATTTAGTGTCCTTACTCTCCTTCCTAATACCATCTTCTCTTAATTTAATCCTCTAAGCCATCCACTTGTTCTATTTCGCTTATCCCTCATACTCTTCTTCAGTCTTTTTCATTAAGTATCTAACTGCAATACTGATTGTAGTATATGTACTCTCTGAATTACCCAGTTCAGCTTTCCCTCCCATTTCAATTCTCTTTCTGTTCCTTAATCATACACCATACCATTTCCTACAACCCCTTTCTATCTCCCTACCCATCTTTCACGCATCACTCTTCCATTTTTCCCTTTCTCTGTTACTTCAAATCTCGTTACTTTCACTCATTGCTGGAGTCTGTGCTGGTATCAGTGACATCAGTCATGTTAATATCACTGCCTCCTGTCACAGATACCAGCATGGGTAATCAGATAAGAAACATACCTACACAGCTACATGGACTGTTCTGTTCAAGAATATACACAGGGTTATTCCCTAAAGTCAGAATTGTCAGGAATTACCTTATTCCAGCGTGCCTCCAGTGTGGCAGATGCGCCTCTTGTGGCTGTCCGGAAGACAGCCACTAGAGGCTGGCTTAACCCCAAATGTAAACATAGCAGTTTCTCTGAAACTGCTATGTTTACATCTGAAGGGTTAAAACCTGAGGGACATTGCACCCAGACCACTTCAGTGAGCTGAAGTGGTCTGGGTGACTATAGGGTCCCTTTAATGTTGACTATTCTCACTTGAATAACCCTGATGGACCTCATTACTTTAAATATTATATTTTCAGGTTAAAAAAAAACAAAACAAAAAAAAAAAGCCACTAACCATGATTACAGCTATTCCAATTCCTACGGCTCCAATGATATGTAATTTGGTATTAAAAACCTTCTCAATTGCTGCAGGGCAGTTCTGAAAGAAAGAGGTGAAACAAGATTTGTTTTATGGACAATACTGATTAAACAAAACATTTACTGTTAATTATGCTGCGTGTGCACACTTGTTTAGGATCTTTCAGCGCACAATTGGTGTTTCTTATAAAAGAAAGTTAGTGCAAACATCTAAAAGTGGAAGAGTCGGCCTAGAAATCTATTAAATCCTGCTATTTTCTTTTCTTTTTTTTCTTTTTTTTTTAAATCACTTTCACCAGCACAGTTCTAAACAATAGCACATTTAAACCAATAAATAAAAAAATAAGAAATCTTAATTGTGCCACTGGGTTTAATTCTGAGGAATTCACTGACAAATAGGGAGAGGCCAACACATTAAAGGGCATTAAGAAAATTTGTCTACATCAGATAGCATGTCTACATGTAATTTAATGTGTTTTAATGTAAGACCAAGCTGTGCGTTCCACGACAGATACACTTTAAACTGAATATATTTCTTTGTACCTGAGTTGTATAAGCAGAAAGGATTCCGTTCTCACTAGGGCATATTTCACTCAACGTAGTAGGATTCAACGTTCCTTTGTCTCCACAGCATTCAAACTAAGGAAGGAGAAAGAAATAAAAAATAATTTAAACAAAACAAAAAAGTCCTTAGCAATTTGTTGTTCTTGACAACATGACTTTAAATTTGTTAAACTTTTACTGGAAATGTCAAAATAAAGTGACGCTAAATAATGACATGTAACTGGTTGCAAGGCTCTCGATAGCATATACAGAAAAGCTGTTTGTCCAACATGCTTGTACAAAAAAAAGCAAAGCTTAATGAGGAGGCAAATAAGAATCCAATACACAAATAGATACATACCACATGCACAAGCTTTAATGTAAAAGTACAAATCTAAATCCATCACTCCATATCCAAGCTCACCATTTGTTCACTTCTCTTTGTGTAACAAGAGTTGTAATAATTTTTGCTGCTACACTAAATACCAGATGCTTGGCTAAGTCTTCAAAATCTTGACTTTTGCAGTTACACTAGACCTACAGAAAAATGTACTAATCTATTGTTCTATCCATTGCTATATTTGTTGTTTATATTGTTAAAACATGGTATCCACTCAAATAACATTCAGAAGAAGTTGGCTAGATCTATAGCTTCTTTGCATACCTATAGACAGTTCTAGATCACTGTATCAGGTGCCATTTTGTGTCCCACCTCTTGCAACAGAGAAGATCCAGAGAAAAAGCAGGAGTGCACCATTAAATGTCAGATATTCAACATTAGGCACATTGCATAAAATTCAAATACACTCAAACCTTTGAAAAACAGAAATTCAACTCACAGCCTTGTGGATTCCAATCAGAGTTCCTTTCAGAGCTTCCTTTTTGGAATTCTCTTGAGTATTTTGATATTGTTGTAAAGTGTCCGTATAAAATGATTTTAGTTCTTCAACAATCTATAAGGAAACAGAATTTAAAAAAAATATAAACATGAAAAAGTGAAAAACCACAACATACGACCCTTATCAAAACTCTTAACATCAGTTCCAGGACTAAAAATCCCCCGCTCCACCCTCCCCTCCAAGATACTGAAAAACTACTACATTATTCAGGATCTATAATGGAGTAATTTAATGTGTTTTATACACTGCATACCACATGGAAATTGGTACTAAATAGAGGAAGTATACCAGAGTGAGATCATACACACAACAGAAAGAGCAAGAGAGAGACAATCTAGCCTCCTGCATGTAGTTTTACATTCATGTATGTTTGAAACACTGATCAGGTCACAAAAGATGGTGAAAGTAATATAAATCTAACTGAAGAATGCAGAACACCAAACAGTCAAAGAGATAAGTTTTAAAAGCAATGTTTTAAAAGAAATATCCCTTGGATTGTGGACACTACAGATGCCAGCCACTGGGATTGGGGAGCATATCTTCAGAAAAACTTTATACTTTGGAAATGGACATTTACTGCAAGAGATATCCCCTCCAATCTTCTGGAATTACTTGCGGTCTTCGGAGCTATAAAGAATTTTCAACATCGGCTTGTACACAAATCAGTGACAAATTAGAAAAGACATTGCCAATGTGGCGGCATATATCAATCATCAAAGGGGAACTCTAAGTTGCAGAATGATGAGTCTGAGCATACCTCTTATGTTTTGGGTTCAACATCACCTTTTGGGTTTGGCAGCTATTCATTTTCCAGGATTACAAAACACTGGTAGACTTTCTTATCTGGGTGGAGATTGGGAAAAGTCTTCCAGATTATAGTGGAGAGAGGGACATTCCTCACATGGATCTATTGCCAACTTGCAGAAACAGCTAAGTCAACAGATTCTTCTTGAGGCTCTAGGAAGAGACGCACATGCAAATGACAATTCAACCTGGCATATGCCAGATTTCCACCCTTTCCTCTCTTCTGAATAGGTTATTGCAAGAGCCACTATCATCCTGTCAGCTTTGTATTGGCCTCACAGACCATGCTTCTTCTGAGCCTCTGCAAGTAACATTCATGGGATTTCCCCAAGAATTCCATCCCTCCTCCAATCAAGGTTCTGTGCGTCATCTAAACCCATATTCCCTCAGCCTGAAGGCATGGAGGTTAAAAGGGAAAGGCTAAAAAAATTAAAAGGTTTCTCCTCTGGAGTAGTGGATAGCCTTTAGGAGGCCAGGAAGCATTCCACTTTAACTACATATTACAGTAGGTTTCTTCTCCCAGGGCTATACCGAAGCAAGTAGAGATACAAAATACCTCTACCAAGGATTCTCTGGAATTCCTACAATCTAGACTTAAGGAGTTGTGTTATAATACTTTGAAGGTGCATGTTTCAGCTCTCTTCGCCCTTATTAACCACAAATGGGCCTTTGACATGGATGTAGCAAGATTTCCCAGAATGGCTCATGAGGTGGCTACTACATTTTTTTTTTATAAACTAAGAAATTGTGCTTTGCATTATGCAAAATTAACACCAGGAAATGGAGCTTTCAGTGCTTGACTTGGCAAGATGTTCAATGATCAATATTGATAGGTCCTCAAGCTGGCGCTCTTCTCAAAAGACTATTTATCATCCCTAATGGGCACGGGAGAGGTCTTCAAGTTTCTAAAGAAGCCATCAGTAAATTAATTGTTTCAGCCACAATAGAGGCTTACCAGGCCTAAGGAGTCCATTTTCCTGATGAACTTAAGGCTCATTCTATTTTGTCCTTCTGCACTGCGGCAGCTAAAGTTTCTCCAGAACTGATTTGCAGAGTAGCTACTTGGTCCTCGGTCAACACATTCATTAGACATTAGCAGTTGGATGTTAGAGAGGGGCAGTTTGATAACTTTGGAAAAAAAGTGTTCTCGCTCTGTCCAATTTTTAAATATGTTCCTTTTTTTCTAATGATTGGGTTAATGCATTTGCATTTGGTAATTTTGAGTGTGTGTATCCTTTCCCTCTCTGTTTTTGCTTGGGTATTACCCATTGTTGTGCTGCCATGGATAAGGAAAGGAAAGGAGATAATGTATTCCTACTTATTGTAATTTTCTTTTCCTGGTCATAGGCCAAGGCAGTACAAAAATCCCTTCCAGGGATATTGCTGGAAACAAGAATGAGGGTAAGAAGGGGTATTTGTAACTTTTCTTTTTATTTGTCCAACTAGGGATAGGGAGAAGCTACTTGTTGTTGTACTGTAATGGCCTATGATCAGAAAATGAAAAGAACGGCAAGGAGGAACACATTTTTTTCCTATTATATTAGATTCACAAAGTTGACAGCCATTGTTTTTTAAGTTTACACAGAAAGAGCGATACAGTGGACTTATAACTGTTCCATAAACTCCAAAGACTCTCTTATGGGTAGTACAACATGATGTTTGGCCATGTGAGCAATCAGCAGGCTTTCTTGCAAAGTCTTTAAGTTCCCATTTAATCTCCATCTTGAATGGCACGCATTTAAACATGCAAATCACTAACCCATTTTCCCCATTTTGAACTCGTTACTATTAAAGAAGATAAAAATAAAAATGTAATGGCTCATTAAAGAGTAACCAGTTGTATTTCCATGACAGAAAAGCACATTGCTAACATTATTACCCAATACATACAAGGCTCGTGCAGGCTCTAGTAGTTTATTAATAGAGCAAGAGAAAAGCAATTATAAGTTAAACAGAGTGTATAAAAAAGGAAATTTAATATGTAGGGAGACTGTGTATCTCCCATCGATGGGAGGTGTGACTAGGCTGCATAAAAATGTGACTTAACTCCTAAGTGACAGAATTGAATAGTGCGACTGCAGGGGCATGTTCTATACACCAAAACTGCTTTATTGAGCTAAAGTTGTTTTTGGTGTTTAGAGTGTTAAGTAGCAATGACTACCCAAAAGAAAAAGAACATTTACAACAAATACTACAAGTGATGATACAGGTTGGAAGCTTACCGTGTCTTTATTTGCAAATCCCCATATTCCTGCAGCAATTTCAACAGCAAAAATAACAAGGAGGAAGGCAAAAAACTAATGGAAAAAAAGATAGATGTTAATTATTGAAGATTACAGACATGGCAGTTGAATCATGCACAAGCTTTCTATTTAAAGGGATTGTTAAATACCAGAAAACAAGGATGTGATGGCAGTTATTTAAAAATGTGTTTGCAGGGACATCATGCTATAACCAAGAATAGTCAGATTGGAAATTGGAAAGGTCCTACCAAATCCAGGAAAATATTTTATTTGAATCCCTTAAACTGTTCTTGTGCAATGGGGGGATTTATAGAGGAACAGCTGGTTGCCCTTTACTCTTTTAGTCCCCTGAGGAACTATTTGGGGTTTATGACTGTCATTACCCACACAGTCCTATTCTGTTGACTCTAGGATCAAGTTCATCTTGACCCTTAAGTCTTCTTTCCTTTTTTTTGTTCTTTTGCAATGGTTTGCTAAAATAAATCCAAAAACCAGCTGTGTGTAGTTAGCACTCGGTATTTTTAAATGAACACTATAGCTCTAGCAGTAGGAATACAAAAAATGGTACTCCTAATGCTCTCCCCAATGATAAATGGGCAACTCCCTCCTCCCCCCGACCCCTACCCCAAAACTTCATCGGCAAAGGCGAAATCCAATGCTCCCAAGAGCAATGGAGCCTATTGCACATGTGTGGCAAGTGCTGCGCACACATTCAATCACTCCCATAGGCATGCATTGCACCCTATGTTATTACATTTTAATTGAGCTGTGAAAATGAATGTGCTGGTTTGGTTTTGTAGATCTAATGGTCACATTCACACAATTAGACTTCAATAACCCAGTGTATGTGGTATTATTGTGTAATGCACAAATATCTCCAGCACAAACATTAATTTTTGTGACACTAAGCAACACAAATAAAATATAATGTGCACTCCTAATCGTCACAAACTAAGTTCCACAAACAAATGGTACTGTTCTCCACCTAGCAAGGGAGGAGGTGAGGGAAGCTGATCATGCTGATCTTCCATCACTTACCTTAAGAAACACAAAACTGGGTCTGTCAGTTCTAGATTGCTTTTATTTTGCAGCCCTTGGTTTCATGTTTAGTTACTCGAGGGATACCAAACAAGTTTTGAGTATTTTCTTTGAAAATCTCCAGGTGGCGAAGGGGTCATACATTATAACAATGGATGTCATGTCTTTTATTCGATCACTTTACATCTTTTGGATTTAAAAGCTATTAGTTATCATTTGGTTCGATCTAGTGGTTGCTGCACTCTATCATGTTTCTGGTGCAATATTTCCCCATCCTATGCCATCTTGTTTTTGGATTGGTAGGTAACTCTATTGTTTAAGGGTAACTTTAAATTTCGAGCTCCACTAGGTTTACATGAGTGGGTTTGTGTCACTCAATTCACCTCTCTGGATTTTTGAGTGGTTTGTGCATTTAGGTGATGCTCCCCCTATACTGGACAGTGGCTCTGTCAACCTTTGGACTGACTGTAACAATAGGTTTTCTAATATTGCAGGAAATGTAATAATTTTGTTAAAAACCTATCCAGTTTCCACTGAACGGAGCAGCTACAAAGTTGGATGGAGAATGAGATTCTAATTCACTTGGTCTTAAGTTAATCACAGTGATGTAATGTTAAAAGGAGCCTAATACTGCTGTATGTTGGTGATTTTTTATAGAGAATTACAATAAGGAATTGTGTTTCTTAACGAGCAATGATGAAGTTACAGGTTTGATTGTCATGCTATGCTGTATAATTATCATGAGGATGGACAATCATCTTTAAAAACTGCCAGGTAGGGGCTTTAAATCCATCTGTGAAACAATGATCGCGGTTATAAAGATTTTCCATAGTTGGATTTAATGTGAAACTCACTGAGAAAAGAGAAAAAAAAAAAAAGCCACACAAATACAAAAAGTATGATCTTTTGTACATCTCTGATTATATATATATATATATATATATATATATATATATATATATATATATATATTTTTTTTTTTTTTTTTTTTAAATGAAGGGGTCCTTATTAGAAAAGGTACATCCTAGTGTGGGAACACTCTAAACACCACAACTAGTACAGCCTGCTAGTTGTGGTGAGCCCTGAGCCCTGACGCTGCCTCAAATTAGCGGTCAAAACATTTTAGTACAGTTTGACAACTTTTCTTGAAACATGGCAGGAGAAGCCATGTGTCCATATAAAATAAACAATACTCAGCCAGTCAGCGAGGTACTGCAAAGCTCAGTATTGCTAACCAAACTCTACAGCAGGACTGTGGCCACAGGTGCCTGGCGTGACCCAGGTAAGGTGCCATCCACACTAAAATGTTTTGAGTACACACACACACACACACACACACTCATTATACATAAACGAACTGAAAAAAAACCTTATTAATTATGATTGTAGTTTTACTTTTTTGTTTGTAATATTGCATATTTTAATGTCTGATCTATACAATGAAGAAAAAAAAAATCCCTGCTCCAAATTCTATATAAAAATATATACATTACATACTTTTTTTTTTTATTATTTCTGAATAGAACAAATTAATATTACCAGTCCAAGCATGCACTCAGACTCCTGAATTGCACCACAGCAGCCCAGAAATCCAACCAACATCATAAGTGCTCCAGCTCCGATCAAGATGTAAACTCCTGCAATCACAGATATATCTCAAAAACAAGGAAATGTCAATGAATTGGCAGTGATTTGTGGTCATGAGTAAGAGCTCTGCCTGCAAGGAAGAACAGTACCATGTTTGTCACCAGCACACTGTGCATGCTGACAACAGATACAAAATGCGTACAGAATTGACATTAGGCAGCCCGGAAGAGAGATTTGGGTCTCGTCTCATGTGCTGGGAGTGCAACTAGCCCCATGCACACAATTAAGAATAACTTATGTGCAGGGTTTCAAGCAGAAACACAGCACATACCGACTCATATCACCATGACCACTTCAAATCACTGAAGTTGTCAAAGTGGTTGGAGTAACCCTTTAAGTTGTAGTCATCTTGGGGCTTAGAGTGTCATATTAAATAATTAAGGTGATTCACTAAAAGTATTAATGAGGTCCTTAAAGGGAAACTACAGGCACTCAAACCACTTCAGCTCATTGAAGTTGTATGGGTGCATTTTCTAAGTATACCTTAGTCCTGCAATGTAAAATCGCTGCAGTTTTTCAGAAACTCTTTCAGTACTAAGACTGGCTCTAGTGACTGTCTAACAGGGAGCCACTAGTGGCACTTCTGGGAGTTTACCAGACTATAGGTCCCCTAGACTCTAGGTCATTCTCTGCATGAGAACATCCAGTGTCTGTGAAAACACCATAAGAAAGCATTGAGGCAGTGCTTTCCTATGGGGAGGACCTAATGCACTCGCACTTGGTGCTTTGAAGGGGGTATACTTTATCATACTTTTCCTGTGGCTACACGAAATGCTCACCAATGCAGAAATTCCACCTGGACCAGCTCTATTTCCATCATATGGTGATTCATGGACACTGTCATTTTATATGTAAAAGTTGAAGGACTTGGAGAGTTGCAAAGACAACACACTGTAACCAAACTTGTCGTTTCCAAATATACCGTGCATTTGAACACTGATATTCATTGTAATATTTATGTTTACCTGATTTTTGTAGATAATTTCACTCCCACCCACCCAAAAGATTTTTTAAAATACTGAAAGTCTTTTTTTACATTTCCCTAAAGTGACTCCGTCATCTAATCTCCCGTTTCCGCTTCTTTTCCTGTTTCAGAATATTCATCTGTTCATTTCTGACCTTTTTATATTTAAAAACACAAGACTACTTTGTAAGGCAAGCTCCAAAGCTCGACTGCCTTTCTTAATTGAGAAAGGAAGAGGAACTTGCCCTAAGCTCCATTCTTTGTCAAAATTGTCAAGTGAAAATCACAGTGAGAAGCACGCAAGCGCCTCTAGTGGCTGTCAATGAGACAGCCACTAGAGGAAATAGGGGAAGGCTTAACCCATTCACAAACATAGCAGTTTCTCTGAAATTGCTATGTTTATGAAAAAATGGGTTAACCCTAGCTGGACCTGGCACCCAGACCACTTCATTAAGCTGAAGTGGTCTGGGTGCCTAGAGTGGTCCTTTAAAGTTTAGGCCAAAAGGAAACAAAACAGAATTTTCCAATTCAGATGATATGTTGGGATTTAAAATTCACTTTAAATTCTCTGTTTAGTAAATAATCATTCATGAATAATAAACGACCAACGCTTGCTATAGCCTAAATCAACCAGCACACACAATGAACAGGATAGAGAAACTTACCAGTGTAGAACGAACTTGGGTTTGTATCTGATTCAAACATACTTTTCGTTTGACCATCGAATCGAAGCCATAATCCTATTGCAAGCACAGCCGTTCCAGCAAGCTACCATGATAAAAAAAAAAAAAATGGAAACGTTTTAATAAATGGCAGTTCTTCAATTCTTATATTTGGTGTCACTTACACCAAAACGTAATACTACACCATCTGCAAGAAGGAGTTATAGCAGGATGTTTATGAATGGAATAAAATAGTGGTGCAAAGTTCTATTAGTGGAGCTATTACCATGGAAACCAGTGATAATGCTAGCTTAATAAGAATGGAAACTAAGCAGAATGCTTGGTGAAATTCCATCACGGGAAGTACTCACATAATTACATTTAAAACAATAAGGGGTGACAATATCAATGCAGAATAAAAGCATATCTACGTGTTAACGTAAAGAACCACTAAAATGGTGTGGATGCAGTTGACCATCAGTGTTAACCATGCAATGTAAAACATTGCTGTTTTGTAGCAATTGCAATTTTTACAACGGAGGTTTCAAAACAGCTCTAGTGTCTAGCCGAGGTGCACAGAACATTGCAAGACCAGTGTGAAGTAGGAAGACAGACAAGTGATACTAACCTTCAAACACTTGGGGGTGGGGGGCATACACCTACGTAGGTATGGAATCACTACATGCATTAGGATTACATATTTGTATTCCTAACACTATATAGTATCCTTTCAAATGCACTCTTGAGTCATCAGGAAAAAAGCTAAACCTACAACATTGTTTTGTGCAGCTTTGGTAACATGTTTAAAAACATTCAATGCTTACTTCTAACATTATAAAAACTAGGGAAGATCTAAGCTTGAAATAGATGAAGTGAGCTCACAGCTCCTTCCCACATTTTCCATCCATGCGACTGACTCACTGTTTCTCTGTTTAACAAAACAACACTGTGCAGCATCCATTTTAGAAGGAGACCGTTGATTACAGGCAAAGCTCTGCTCAAACTGATTCTAGTTTCCCTAGCTTTCCTGGTCTGGAACTTTATCTTACCATCAGACTTTATTAATGGACATTTTCTAATGTACTAAATGAATGCTTGTAAGCTGGTCACAAGTTTGCCATCCTCAAAAACAGATCAAATTACAACACAATTGGGTACTGTGCCATTTTATATAGGAAATTGAGTCACAGTACAATAGTGGATTGCCAACACATACAATATACAGCAACATTTTCAACACAGACAACCTACCCAATTCTGTATTGCATATGATAATTATGAGCGTGCACAAAAAAAAAAAAACCAAAAGAGCACTCAAGGGTTTTGAAATAACTATGCTTTGGTTTTATTCTGATAGACTACAAATACATAACTTTTTTTTATGTGTCCATTTAAATATAGACTTGCTATATAAAGTTATTGAGGACTAACATTTTTATCAAGCTCAGCCAACCAACCACTGTATGAGGTTGGTTGGATTTGTATTCCAAAGTGGTTTAGCAAGTGGTTGACTCACTATCCCATTACATTCAATACTAGTTTTAAATATAATGCCCTCCAGCTTTAGCCAGAATCTCCTAAAACATTTAATGTATCGTGAAACACAAAAATACATTATGTATTCAATATAAATTATCAAGATATACTCACCTCTGTTCCAGTATTGTCATATTCTGACTTTTGTAGGTGTTACTCTTTGTGGTGGTAACAATTTTATGCTGATGGCCATCAGCTGTAAGAGGGCTTTATAAGCAGACACATTTGAACATGGATACAGGTAACCTTGATAAAGGCAGCCAATTGGTGCCAAAACGTTGGGGGGTTTGGTGCCTCGTGTTTCTGTCTTGAGGCTTGTAAGAGTTTTTTTTTGGTAATTTATCATTATTTTATTGTATTTGCCCTTGCTGTCATTGTGTTTATTTTTCTTGTATGTTTTCGCTCTGGTACTTTTTTGTACATAATAAAGTTAAGTTTTTTGAGATTGTTATAGTGTGTATTCTATTTATATTTGAGTATTTAAAGCACTTGAGGTAGTGTTTGTATGGCTTGCAACTGGCTATTTTTATATTACTTTGTCTCTCCATGTGCTGCTGTTTTGAGACTCTTTGTGTAACACCCACCTCTGGTCAGTCCTTTGGTCTTCTGTTATTTGCTCTACTTGGAGGCACATTGCCAATCCTTTCCTATACTCCCTAGCCAGCACTAGCAACATTGGCTAAAGAGTTTCCATAGCAGCCACAGGGCATATGCAGTGGTTACTATGCTTTGGAGAGCAGAATGACTGACTGTATGTGGTCTTTTTCTACACTTTTGTCAATCAAATTATTGGCATAAAGTCTATGAGAGATGGGAGAATCTATATTTGCTAGCAGTTCTGTTAGATCCATGTAGAGATTAAATGGTATGCTCTTTTAAGAGACAAAAGATCATAAGTGGTTTGGGACATGGCAGATACCCTTCAAAGTGTTATTCTAAGCACCAAACCACTACAGCGATCTGAATTGCCCATGGTGTCTGGAGTCGATACGTGCAGAGTTCAACATTTTTGCTCATGGAGGTGTAACAAGGGTTCACGGGTTAATGTCACTTCAGTGCACAGATAATTATGAGTGATCCATTACATTTGCCCAATTAGCAGAGAAAAGCACCAGGGTGTCCCTACCATCAAAACCACCACTGTAGTGGTTATGGTAATTGGTGTATCACTTAAAAAGTCAAAGTCGTGTTGAAATGGAGCTTGTATGTACATGGTACCTGTGATTCAATCAAGACCTTGTTATGCATCATAAAAAAAATAAAAATAAAAAAAAACACTATTGTGAATAACATTGCTCATCTTTTTGTATTAAATGTAACTATTTGACTGGGTTTTGTCTTTGACAATAGGTCGCGCTCAGACTTGAACATATTTTGTTTTGATTATCAGTACAAGTTACTGTTTATTGAATTAGTATAGCTAGAGATTGCAGCCCATTGATGATGTTGGTTAACAGTTTACATGTGCAACATATGACATTAAAAGGGTCACACTTACTGAACTAAAGTTGGGACATACTGCATCCCATTAATATAATTATAACTCAAAATATTTACAAATATGAAAAATGGCAAGGATCCTAGAATGTCACTATAGCAACTGTTGACTGGATTTGATCAACCTAAAATAATTATGCATTGCATTTATGTGACAAATTATGCATTAAAAGAGCATGAACATTGCAAATACAAAATAGCCCTGCCTCACTGTCATTCCAACTTTCTTGATGGTCATGACTGAGTTCTTCATGATCATGGCCACCACAGTCCACCAATACAAATTTCCTCATAGAGAAGCATTACAATACTCCTCTATGGGAAAACTTCATCACTGAATGTAAATACTTTTTTGCCGTCTTTACATGGAAGTAGCTCCAATATCAGCTCAATTGACGGCAGGGGTAGCATCGAGACACCACGAGCACTGTATTAAGCTGTAAACTGACCACAATGGTGACTGGATGTCTTTCCAGTGACCTCTTAATGAAACTCAATTAACAATGTTGAAACTGGCAGCATACCCTAGGCTTAGCCATCTGATTGACAAGTCTGGGAGTGTTTACCGCAGTCCACTGAGGCCATCCTGACTCTTTTCTCTGCTGAGGCTGCAGGAGCTGGGGAGGGGAGAGACGGCCGATCTCCCGAACCTGCAACCCTCCCACCTCTCCATTTGGACCTGCGGGTGTGATCCCGATCCCCACCCTGGCAGCTTCCTTGCTCAAGCTGGGACAGGGTAGACACCATTGGCACTGGACCTTAAGACCGGAGATACCATATAGGACTATGCCATACTCATAACAGACATAGGCTGATTGCAATGCTGAGCCCCTTGATGCAAGTCACATCACAGCCTGCTTTGTGTGTATTGCAGCATATGCTTTATTTTTCCTTGTTTGCCTTCGTTTAACACATCTGGTTAATGTTCCTTTCTGCTCCTACATTTTGCACCCGCAAGATTTTATGGATAATGCATCACTCTCTGTCACAGTACAAGCTGGACATTTCTCATATTCCTATTATATAACTGGAGCTTTCAGGGGTAGAAAACCTCTGCCATTTAAAAATCATATTGTTTACTTACATTTTGTTATTTTCTTTTCTCTCTTAGTGAACTCATGTAACATTAAAAAAAAAAAAAATACATTTTAAAAAGGGATGTATTTCTTGTTCAGACTAATATCTGACATATTATATAACAACCTTGATAGCTACATACTCTGATGTCATTACCTCTGTGCAGTGGCATTCATACAATCTATGGGGCCCCAGTATAAAAATGATCCATGTCCCACCCCAGACACATACACCTCCTGACAGACATACACATATACATACATAGTGTGTATCTTTATGTGTGTGCGCCTCTGTATGTGTCTGTGTCTATGTATGATACGGACACATACAAAATGTTTAAGTCACCCTTCTGTTTCCTACCTTTTGCAGGAGGGTGACTTTCCCTGGGGTCCAGTGAGGGCTTAGCCTGATGGGAGTCAGAGTTCCCACTCTGACTGCCTCCTTCTTCCCCCTACGGGGAGGAAGGCAGTCACTTCCGCCCAGCTCTGTCTGATGTCATCACAGGGGGCCTGGTCAGCGCTGGGTGCCTTAACAGCGCCTGGAAATCCATACCCATCGGATGGCCCTGACAGCATGGGCCACCTGATGGGCCCCTGCGGTTTGCTGCACGGGCCGAGGGCGCAAAACATGGCGGCGGGTACCCGCTCGCAGGGCGTCCGAGCCCCCTGAAGTGATGGGCCTGGTCGCAGCTGCCACCGCGGTATGTACGGTAGTGCCTCTGTGTGTACTACCATCACAAAAAAAGAAAAAGATTGAGAAAAAAAAAAAAGTGTATGAAAAGCACTACAAGCATTGAATGCCAAATGGAACATTTTTTATTCTTTATTCAAACAATGCAAGACAAAAAAAAAATAAAAAAAAAAAATCACAGAATAATCAAATAATTCCCTACACAGAATAATCAAAATTTTGGTTGAAGAGAGGTTTCCACAGGATCTACACATTTCCTGTCTCCTAATCATTCACGTTTAACTTACTGACACCAGAAAATGTTGAAATACTGGGTGGATTCCAGTTGCTAGGGTAACAAAATATAACACAACTGAAACATAAACTATAACACACATTAAAGGAACACACTGTCACTGTAAAAGATATGGTGCCAAGAGTGATAGGGTATACTCCCCTCCCAATATTCAAGTAGTCAAATGGTTTAGGAATGTATTGACCTGGGGGGTGTGTGGTGCTGCTCCACATCACATCTCTGCCAGAAGCTCACAACATTGAACTAAACCTGGCAGTGCAGGGCTTAGCTCACTGGCTCAGAGTGATAAGCTTACACTTCTGGCAAATGACCTACCCATGCACTGCAGGACTAGGCTCAGGATAGCGAGCTCCCAAGCTTTGAAGAGGTGATGAACTAATGTGTGGTCTCTTTAAATTGGGACGCGCCAGGCATCATAACTTTAAGGACGTATGGAGCACCCTGACTGGTTGATCATTTCATTCTCCTGGCACTGGTAAGAAATTGAAATGAAAAACCTGGGGATTTATTGCAAATGCAGCAACTGCAGATGTGAGTATCTGTATCTTGAAGAGCCGCTTACAGGCGAAACGCGCGTCGGGGCTCCTATGTGTAGCCGTACTTTGCAGTTTCTTGAGACCAGCAAGTTTTATGAGTTTTTGTTTGACTCATCAGATTAGTGTGACTCGCAAATCTGTAACCACTAATTTAGGTCTTTGCAGCTTCAGTAAGCTTAGCAACTCGTCAATCAGCTATTAGAGACTTGGGTTTTGGCAGCACTATCAGTTCAGCCACAGATAGGGAAAGACGGATATCCCTTCCTTATACTTAGCCTAGTCAGATATTAGCTACGAGCTACATTCATTTACTTAGTCCAGGGCAGATCAGCAAATCACTCTGACAGGGCTACTTTTTGCTGTTTTTACCTCATTATCTTTACTACCCTGGGCTATTATTTTACTTTATAATTTTTCCGGCTATGTGATGCCCATTAAAGGCACCATTTAGACATTAAGTGCCGTTTTGGCATCAGATTGTGTCAGGCTCTGCACTAACCACACATTGACTATCAGGGCCGGACTGGGGAAAAAATTTGGCCCGGGCATTTTTAATTACAGCGGCCCACTGAAAAGGGGGCGGGACCAGATAGGGTGTGTTTTGTCATCCCCAATGACAAGCACGCCCCATCTCAAAGTGAGCATGTTGGTTCAATGCTCTTCCAGGGCATGAGAAAAGGGCCCTGTATTTGATCTGCACAGCGCAAGCAAATTTAATAACATGCTTGCATTGTGTTTGCTTGAAACTTGTCTCAGGGGTTTCCATAATTGGAATACTCACTGTATCCCATTTATGGAGACACTATGTGTTTGCTTAAAGGATATCTAGTGTGTTCATAGGGGATCCTGAGTGTGTATGTCAGAAATGTAGTGTGTGTGTAAGTGGTGCAGCGTCTGTGTGTAGGGGATCTAGTGTGTGTTTGAAGGACTCCGGAGTGCGTATAGGAGATCTAGTGAGTGTGTGACTGGTGCAGTGTGTTTGGGGGGTGCTGTGTGTGTGACTGGTGCAGTGTGTTTGGGGGGTGCTGTGTGTGTGAGGGGTGTAGTGTGCATTTGTGAGGAGTATAGTGTGTGTGGGAGGGTGCAGTATGTGTGTGGGAGGGTGCTGTGTGTGAGGGCACTGTGCGAGGGTGCTGTGTATTTGAGGGTGATGTGTGTGTGTGTGCTAGGTTGCTGTATGTGGTAGGGTGCTGTGTGTGTGTGTGTGTGTGTGTGCTAGGTTGCTGTATGTGGTAGGGTGCTGTGTGTGTGTGTGTGTGTGTGTGCTAGGTTGCTGTGTGGTAGGGTGCTGTGTGTGTGTGTGTGTGTGTGTGTGCTAGGTTGCTGTATGTGGTGGGGTGCTGTGTGTGTGTGTGTGTGTGTGTGTGTGCTAGGTTGCTGTATGTGGTAGGGGGTGCTGTGTGTGTGTGTGTGTGTGTGTGTGCGTTAGAGATTGCTTTGGCGTTAGGGTGCTGGCGTTAGGGTGCTGGCGTTAGGGTGCTGGATTAGGGTGCTGGCGTTAGAGGTGCTGGCCGTTAGGAATTGCTGGCCGTTAGGGTGCTGGCGTTAGGGTGCACTGGCGTTAGAGATTGCTGGCGTTAGGGTGCTGAAAGCGTTAGAGGGTGCTGGCGTTAGGGTGCTGGCGTTAGGGTGCTGGCGTTAGGGGTGCTGGCGTTAGGGAATTGCTGGCGTTAGGGTGCTGGCGTTAAGTTACTGGCGTTAGGGTGCTGGCGTTAGGGTGCTGGCGTTAGGGTGCTGGCGTTAGGGTACTGGCGTTGAGGTGCTGGCGTTAGAGGTGCTGGCGTTAGGTGCTGGCGTTGGGGTACTGGCGTTAGGGTGCTGGCGTTAGGGTGCTGGCGTTAGGGTGCTGGCGTTAGGTGCTGGCGTTAGGGTGCTGGCGTTAGGGTGCTGGCGTTAAGTTGCTGGCGTTAGGGTGCTGGCGTTAGGTGCTGGCGTTAGAATTACTGGCGTTAGGGTGCTGGCGTTAGGGTGCTGGCGTTAGGGTGCTGGCGTTAGGGTGCTGGCGTTAGGGTGCTGGCGTTAGGGTGCTGGCGTTAGGGTGCTGGCGTTAGGGTGCTGGCGTTAGGGTGCTGGCGTTAGGGTGCTGGCGTTAGGGTGCTGGCGTTAGGGTGCTGGCGTTAGGGTGCTGGCGTTAGGGTGCTGGCGTTAGGGTGCTGGCGTTAGGGTGCTGGCGTTAGGGTGCTGGCGTTAGGGTGCTGTGTGTGTGTGTGTGTTAGGGTGCTGGGTCAATGTTAGGGTGCTGGGTCAATGTTAGGGTGCTGGGTCAATGTTAGGGTGCTGGGTCAATGTTAGGGTGCTGGGTCAATGTTAGGGTGCTGGGTCAATGTTAGGGTGCTGGGTCAATGTTAGGGTGCTGGGTCAATGTTAGGGTGCTGGGTCAATGCTAGGGTGCTGGGTCAATGCTAGGGTGCTGGGTCAATGCTAGGGTGCTGGGTCAATGCTAGGGTGCTGGGTCAATGCTAGGGTGCTGGGTCAATGCTAGGGTGCTGGGTCAATGTTAGGGTGCTGGGTCAATGTTAGGGTGCTGGGTCAATGTTAGGGTGCTGGGTCAATGTTAGGGTGCTGGGTCAATGTTAGGGTGCTGGGTCAATGTTAGGGTGCTGGGTCAATGTTAGGGTGCTGGGTCAATGTTAGGGTGCTGGTCTTAGGGTGCTGGTCTTAGGGTGCTGGTCTTAGGGTGCTGGTCTTAGGGTGCTGGTCTTAGGGTGCTGGTCTTAGGGTGCTGGTCTTAGGGTGCTGTGTGTGTTAGGGTTCTGTGTCAATTTTAGGGTGCTGGTGTTAGGGTGCTGTGTGTGTGTTAGGGTGCTGGTGTTAGGGTGCTGTGTGTGTGTTAGGGTGCTGTGTCAATGTTAGGGTGCTGGTGTTAGGGTGCTGTGTGTGTGTTAGGGTGCTGTGTCAATGTTAGGGTGCTCTGTGTGTGTGTTCTTTGATCTCCCCACCGGCCCTTCATGGAACACAGCGGGGCCGGCGCTCGGATAGCGCCGGCCCTGCATAGACCGGCAGGGGAGATCCTGGGACCTCCCCTGCCGGCCTCGGCCCATGGCCACCGCGGCCCACCGGGCATTTGCCCGGTGTGCCCGATGGCCAGTCCGGGCCTGTTGACTATAGTCTCAGTTAGATAATTATCAAATATTAGGACAGATACGCTATTTAGATGCCTGTGCAATTGTGCTCTGGCTTGGCTTAAATTCCAAGACTCGCTAGTATTAGCTCTGTATCACTCCATTCTAGTCAGTCTGACTCACTTTGCGAATTTTTGATCAAGCCACTGCGATCCACGATAATCTGTTATAAGATGGACTAATTCGATACTCTGTTTGCATGATCAGTGTTTCAGTGAAACAGTTACAATGTTTCATTATCGATTTTAGCAGCAAGAGCACATATTGCAGCAGGATAAAAAAAAGAGTTAAGCCTCTCTACTTCCATTCATTAGTCTAGCTGAGACAACACTAGTCTTTTATTATTCTATATGTATATATTTTCTTTGTACCCTATATGTCTCCCCTTCCCTCTCTGTTTTGGTTAATGTAGTGCTATATTTTTAGAGCTAGGTATTTCTCTAGCCCTTCTTTATTTTTGATAAATTAAAAGTTAATTTTTAAACTACCATAGAGGTCACTGGACAGTTCAGTCTTTTCTTGTTTGCCACTTATTTCTAAGGGTTATCCCCTATGATTTCTGTCCAGTATTTTCTTTAATCGCTTCAATCACCCCTCTTTTTTGTTTATCTGTATCTACTAAAACTTAAATTGCTTGTATCACACTTTTTTACATTTTATTATTTTATTTTTTTACAAAATTGGTGCCAATTTAAAATGGGGGTGATCATCTGCACAAAAACACAAAACATGATTTACATAAAAGTTTTTTTAAAAGAAAATGACAAAAATAGTCTATCAGAAACAGGGAGGTGCATTGAAGTGGTCTGGGTGCAGTGTCCTAGGTCCCTTAACCCTACAAAGCTTGTTATTGTAGTTCTTATAAACTGCAATAATTCTAAACCTCCATTGGCTGTGTACCAGACAGCCACTAGAGGGACTTCTGGGCTGTTAGGCAATTTTTGGTAGCCTCACGGATGTCCGATCGCGATTGACCGAGGGGGAAGCTATAGTGCCAGAAAAAAACTAGACGAGTTTAATCCCTGTGTATTCTGACATAGAAATTCCCTGCCCACTAAACCACTACGGATAACGCTTACCCTGTGGGATAAAGGATATAACACTTGTATTTTCCTTAATAAAAAGGAATACAACCGGGAAATGTAATAAAACAATGCTCTTTGTACTTCAATCATTTTCTTATTAACACAAACAGTCTGGAACTGCAAATGGGGGAGGGATTGTGAGGAAATAGAAATTTGTTTAAAACAGAGGTAGGCAACCTTTGGCACTCCAGATAATGTGAACTACATCTTCTATAATGCGCTAACTGCTGGCAAGGCATCAGGGGGAGATGAAGTCCACATTATCTGTAGAGCTGTATGTATGTGTGTTGACTACCCCTGGTGTAGAATGGTGGAATTAGACTGAAAGACTACTCGAGAGGCTAATGGTGCCGACAAAGAAATAGAGTGAGAGACTAGAAGATAGAATGCTGAGAACGGAAACTATGTAGGTATAATTGTACACACTGCACGTTGAAAGAGAGGTCTGAGCAGCTTTTCCACAGCTTTCTTTAACATCACACAATCTGTGTATGAGCTAGCAGTACAGAAAAGCAAGGTGCAATGCATGCACATGTAAGTGGAATAAAAAGGAGTATACTGTTCAAACCATGCTTTGTATGGCTCAGATTAGAACTGAACCCAAACAGACACCTCCAATGAGAAGGGCCACAGAACGCTGTTAGACAAGGAAGGGGCTGTCCTTGAAAATGTTTAATAAATATCCCCTCAAAATATAGGCAACATAAGCAGGTTTTGTAAGAATGCAAATTAATATTCTAGGCACTCAAATCTCTTAAAAAGGTAACCAAAACCTCCATGCATGGCTGTATTTGCAGCGAGGCAAACAAGGCATTTGCCTAGGGCGGCACTTTCAGGGGGTGGCAAAAAACGCCGCCCTAAGTGCCCAGGCACGTGCTTTGTTTGCCTCACATCCAGGGTGGGAGCAAGAGGTGGTTGGCTGGCTCAAAGTGTAGGCAGGCGGTGAGGGAGCGCAGTCCTCTGAGCTCTTCCTGCTCGCCCTTCTATGATACCGGGAGTCAGAACAGGACGTCACTCCGGCTCCAGCGGTGCGTGAGGGAGAAGAGCAGGAAGAGCTCAGTTCCCTCACCACCTCCATTAAGCGCCTGCCCACCCGCCCACCCAGCCAGCAGAGCCCGCAGCCCCAGGAGTCTGTCCGCCCAGCCAGCAGCCCAGCAGCAGTCAGGGACAGGATCCACTCCCGATCTTCCAAAAAGGTAGGGAGGCTGGTTGGTGAGTGTGTGTGTGTGTGTGTGTGTCTGTGAGTGAGTGAATGTGTGTGTGTGTTCAATCAGTGAGGATATCTGTGTCAATGTGTGTCTTTCAGCGAGTGTATGTCAATGTATGTGTATCTGAGAGTGTGGGTTGTTTAAACAGTGCGTGTGCCAATGACTGTATCTGTCAGTGCACGTGTCGATGAGGGCGTGCGTCTGTCAGTCAAAAAAGTGGCCTTGACATGGAGTGGAGGTTCACATTTAGATTAGGGGAGTGTCTGAATTTAGTCCTGCCTAGGGCAGCACAAATCCAAGATACACCACTGCCTCAAAGACCTCTTTTGTGCAGTGACCCAAAAAATATGACAGCCTCGGTTTGCCTAATGTTAATACCGTGTTTAAAAAAAATAAAAAAAAATTACAACAGCCAGTATGCACTGTAATTTGCTTTAACGACTAGTGCACAACTGAAAGGTAAACCTAGATCTGCCTAGATCTCAAAAACTGCCTTCCCTACCTCCGTATAAAAACAGTCCTCTTTGCTGGCCCCGTGCAGTGTCTGCGTAGAGTAATTATGGTGACCAGCACCCGCTGTCGATGGAGACCACACAATATTTGTCCCAGTCCTGCACACCCTGGGACCTCCACAAGCAGCAAATTGCAGGGCTAAAAGGCCCTAAAAAGAAGAAGAAAGTTTCCTGCCTGCCCAGCAAAGCACCTGCAACTACAGGTCCCAGGGCTTTTATAAATTCCATAACCCTTTCATCTTTGGATTAGACAGTACAGTAAGTTTTACTTTCAAGTACAAAAGGATGGTATGATTATAAACAAATAAGATTATTAGATTTTTTTTTTACTAGAAGACCATTCAAGAAAGTTTAAAGTTTAAAGTCTCATACGTGGGGTGGGGAGTCTCACACACACACACAGACAGACTTACAACAAAGGTAGCAAGCCATTTTCTGTGAAATCTCAATTTGGTGGAAGTTACTACTGATGTAGTTGAACCAAGTATTTTTAAACTCAACTTCAACTTTTTACTAGTGAAAACACACATTTACAAGGCAGGGAAAAAAAACAACAAAAAAACCCTGAGAAACCTATTTAAACGGACAGGCAAATCAAGTGTGTTTAGAGAGCTTACATGTAAATCTATAAGAAATAGATTAGTCATGGAAAATTGGTAAAATCAAGTTCGGATTCAATTTTTTTACTTTGAATTAGAATATGTAAATAAATTCCTGGATTTGGGGTGAGGGGGACTCTCCCAGAGGGAGACATGGTTTATTGTTTTTAGTTACCATTGGAAAATTGGTGAAATACTTCTTGAAATTGAGGAGAGCATATGTACAAATAGATTAACACTAAGTAAATGACAAAGCGGTCTATGAGGGTTAGCTATATCATAGGCTTTATGAATGTGCTGTCTACGACATGGGTGAGCAACACACAGGTCTTCTGGGGCCAACATTGGTTGGCAAAAGCTCATGGAATTTGTAGTTCAACTGAGGGAGACCAGCCTACTATTTGTCACAATGTTCTGTATGAAAACAAAGTAACAGCTGCATAACTGCATCTATAAGCTTGTAACTTCAAACTAAATGTCAGATCTATTTATGGCAAAATGTTTAACCCCTTAAGGACACATGACATGTGTGACATGTCATGATTCCCTTTTATTCCAGAAGCTTGGTCCTTAAGGGGTTAAAGAAACAAAACTGATGAAAAAGCAGATTCTAAGATAGGTACAAAAAGGTAAACTGCACTTAAGAGTGTGTGCGTCAACTACATACAAAACAAAAACACCAAATTCTATTTTAAAGGGACAGTAAAGCTGTGGTTTGGCTTTAAGCATCCAAGACCATATACATATCACAGCAAGACATCAAGCAACAACATGATTTAGCAAGTGGCCATTGAACATTCTCTTCAAAAACACCATACATATCTCTGAATAATCCACTGGTTTAAATGGTTGCATACATCTGTGCAATGTACACTTACGCACGTATTTTAAACTTAGCCTTGTGCACCTTGCAATCATTCTGGGTGACGGGATATCATGTCAGGAGCTGGCACCAGAACAGAGCATGCAAGAAGATGAACCTGTTCCAGCTGCAGCAACCAATGCACAGAGCAATCTACGCATCCCTGGTATACCAGGGATGAGGACAAGGATAGGAACATACACAGTATTATGGAATGTTCAGCAATAGGTACAAGTATTAGTGGACAATTAGTATAAATACAATTTTTTAGACAAGCTTTGAATGGAATTACTGCTGGACACCTTGAGATAATTCTCCATGAACTGCAGGTAGCACTGTATTAAAAGAGGAAGCAACCTGTCTTATGTTGCAGATTAAAGGAATACTCCAGTCACCTTGAAAACTTCATCAAAATTAAGTTATTGTGTAAAGTTCTCATATGATCAGGCTTACTATCAGGAGTTAAACCATTAATGAACGGTTTAACCGCAAAGTCTTCAGTCCAGCATCTGTCAGCTCTGCTTCTCCACTTCAATTTGAGTCTGAAGCTTCCACACAGTGGATTATGCAGTAAACAATGAAAGGCTGGAATTGACTAGAGAATATCTACTGTTAAAGGTAAAAAGTGTTTAAGTGGCCTAAAGTACTAAAAGCTGGGCAAAAACCATGGAAACCAGCAGGTATATTTGACTCCCCATTTTAAATATGTAGCTCACTAAAAAAACAAAACCAAAAAAAAACCCACCCACAAATGGGGAAAAAATATTTAACACACACACACACACACACACACACACACACACACACACACACACACACACACACACATAATATATAGATATATATTACATACACACTATATGGACAAAAGTATTGGGACACCTGACCAGTACACAAACAGGGACTTTTATGACATAGCATTCTAAATATATTCCCACAAAGTTGGAATTTTAGCATTGTCCAAAATGTCTTGGTATGCTGAAGCATTTGCCTAGCACAACTCCTGAAACTCCTTTACAGTTGGCACAATCAGGCAGGTAACATTCTCCTAGCATTAGGCTAACCTAGACTCGCTCACCAGACTGCCAGAGAAGCATGATTTGTCACTCCACAGAACACGTTTCCACTGCTCCAAAAGGCCAGTGGCGGCATGCTTTACACCACTGGATCTGACACTTGGCATTATACTTGGTGATGTGAGGCTTGTATGCAGCTGCTTGGCCAGGGAAATCCATTCCAAGACTCTCCCACCACCCAGTTTTAGTGCGGATATTAATGCCAGTGAAAGTTTGGAACTCTTTAGCGAAGGAATCTGTAGAGGTTTGGTGACTTATGCACCATGCGCCTCATCAATCTTTAGGTGGTCTTCTGCAGCTTTACATGGCACAGTTGTTGTTCCTAAACATTTCCACTTTCCAACATTACCACTTACAGTAGCAGGGATGAAGTTTCACAAACTGACTTATAGCAAAGGTGGCATCTGTACCACACTAGAATTCACTGAGCTCTTCGGAACGACCCATTTTTTCCCATAAAATGTTAGTAAATGCAAACTGCATGGCTTGATGCTTTATTTTATACAATGGGTCCAATTTATATACCTGAATTCAATAATTAAGGTGTGTCCCAAAAATATTTTTGTCTACATAGTGTTTAGTCCTCCTCCCCCCAAAAATAAACAAAACCAAAAGAAAATCTACAAAAATACTATAATATATATATATATATATATATATATATATATATACACACACATACACATATATATATATACATATACACACACACACACACACACACACACACCTCAAGAGAGCTGCACTCACCTTAATATTCATACATTATAAGGAAGCTGCTGGGACCAATTCATACAACATACAAGATCCAGTACAAATCACTCACTGACTAAAAAGCAATTTCAAAGCTCACAGAATGCAAAAGGTTTTTGGTTGGTTGATTTTTTTTTTTATTAAACAACATGTATTTCTTCCCTGACAATACTACCCTACTTATTAGTCTTGTTTGAAATAGACTAGACAGGTATTTTGTTTCCTTCCCAAAGCAGAATGGGTAGATTTGTATTGCAGCCACACCTATTTGCTTTAATAAAATCATTTGCCGTTTCCAAGAGCACTGTGCAAACAGCAAAATAAAACAAAAGAAAAAAACAAATCTATAAATCTCATACCAGATTTATCCTGTCCCCTCCGTCCCCCCACTCCAAAAATACAAATACTACAAACTAGATTAATGTACGTTTTTGAATTGTATCTCGGTAGTGTGATCTCCCCCAGTTCACAGCATATTTCATATATTACACACATTATTCTTGCATTACAGCTCAGGTCAGAAGGCATACTTGAAAAAGAATACAAAAAAATTAAATGCAGTGTTTGGTGGGTCACGATGCAGGCAAACCCCTCCTTCACCAGTGAGACAAAATCAGGAGTGTCTCATTCTAGTCTATAGGGTCTATTATTCCATGAATCCCTGTCCAGCAGAGATTTATGCAATAAATAGTCACTCCAAGAGCAGTTCCACTTATCATATAGGATGAGGGAAATTGCCATGTGAACTCCCAGTATCATATTGTGGCAGTCAGCTGTTTATGGTTACATAAACTAGGCTGTGTCACTGATTAGAAGTCTCTGACTGTATTACCCCTGCTTCCCTACCATATGGTGACCTCCAACTCTCACGTACTTCCAGACCCGGTGACTGCAATGAGGACAGTGGTGGTCTTATCTCAGCTCGTTCTACCCTTCAACTTATTCCTTCTGTACCATCCCTTAAAGGACCACTATAGTGCCAGGAAAACATACTCGTTTTCCTGGCACTATAGTGCCCTGAGGGTGCCCCCACCCTCAGGGACCCCCTCCCGCCCGGCTCTGGAAGGGGAAAGGGGTAAAAACTTACCTTTTTCCAGCGCTGGGCGGAGAGCTCTCCTCCTCCTCTCCGCCTCCGTTACGCCCCGCCGGCTGAATGCGCACGCGCGGCAAGAGCTGCGCGCGCATTCAGCCGGTCTCATAGGAAAGCATTTACAATGCTTTCCTATGGACGCTGGCGTGCTCTCACTGTGATTTTCACAGTGAGAAGCACGCAAGCGCCTCTAGTGGCTGTCAATGAGACAGCCACTAGAGGATTAGGGGGAAGGCTTAACCCATTCATAATTATAGCAGTTTCTCTGAAACTGCTATAATTATGAAAAAATGGGTTAACCCTAGAAGGACCTGGCACCCAGACCACTTCATTAAGCTGAAGTGGTCTGGGTGCCTAGAGTGGTCCTTTAACTGCCCTTCTTTCGAGGTCCATGCCATACGCCTCTTTCAACACTTCTTGGTATGTATTGTGGTTATCTAGCACATTCCTGACCACACCCTCTCTGCCTAGCTCTCTGACTTCCTGTCCTTTGGCATTCCCTCCACTATCCTTGGAGATTTTAACATCTGTATACATGCACAGACTACCTCCAAAGCCTCTAAATTCAGCTCTAGGACTGCCTCCATGGGACTCATTTGGGATGCAATGACTGCAGCCACAATATGACTCATTTGACTTTACGTGGCAATTCCCCTACCCATCATGCCAGCAACATCTTGTCTTCGATCACAAACTTCACCAACACATCTCTCTCTTACTCTGATTACAACTTCCTACACTAGAATATTATCCTGCCCCCACCCAACCAATGTCTCATGCACACCTAGACTCTACAGAGACCTGAAATCCTTGGATCTGCAGCAGCTTTCCATTGACATTTAACCTTTCCTCTCACTGATCTCTACTGCCACGTTCTTCTATAGCAACTACCCTCTACAACTCTACATTTTCCAAGTATCGTTGATAAACTCCAATCATGCCAGCCATGTTCATCAAAATAAATGCCAATTGTTGTGCCAATTCACTGGATAGCTCTAAAGTTACTCAAAAATGTTACTGGAGGAAGTCTTCGTATGGCTGACCACATGCACAACAAATGTATTTTGTATTCCTACACCTGCGCTCGTGGATGGACCAGGCAGCAGTCAGGCGTTTATCTAGTGGGGAAGACGATGACCAACACTTTTCCCATCTAATTTTTAGCAAATTATCAGAACAATTAATTAAATCTGCCAGATTTTTTACTACTTTGCATTTTTTGCAACTTAACCATTGGGAAAACTGAAAAAAATTGCTATGAAGAAAACTGCCTTTTTTAGATCAATTTAATGAATATAAAATAAATATATAAAAATAAAGATGGAATGTAACCATTACTTCTCAGACCACTTTGAAAAATATGCCACAGTGTTCCTTTAACGCACTGCAATTTGGTCTATAGTGAAACTTTAACATTTAGAATTTAGTAAATCCCTAAGTGTTTGGGGAATTTAATATGTCTGGGAATTGTCAAACCAGAAACTCAGGTATGTGCATTTCTCCATTCTACCCCATTACATAAAAGTGGTTTTATTGCAAGAATTCTAAGAAATTTATTCACAGCTTTAAAAAAAAAAAAAAAAAAAAAAAGTATAATAATAATAATATATAAAGAGGCCCCAAATTTAACATGATCATGTTTTTAAATCACAGTACAAACGTTAGCAACTATAGTGAAGATTCTGTTAGAGGTGTTTCTATGGCTACTGCCACTCCCTGCAAGATTTTAATGCTGGAAGGCAGACTGAAAACCCCCACCCACCATTCCAAAGTGGGAAATACCTTGGAATGCATGAAGGAAAACAAAAGTAATACATATGTAATGTTTGACAGCACAGTGGAATTTCCTGGTGTGGTAGAGCTTAAATTCGAAACAGAACCCTTGCTAATGTTTTGCCACGTCCATGGCAATAATGTTACAAACATGTTGGGGTTTATTCACTAAATAGTGAATTTGAGTGCATTGTCAACAAAACAGTCGTAAAGATAATGTTTTTCCAGCTCTGCTATTTGGTTTAGAAGAAAATCCAAGCTTGAAGAGCCAGTTTGCAGAATTAGATGATATAAAGCAACAATCAGCTGTTATAACAGGAGGGATGGGCCAGAACCCTTCTAGTTTGTGGTTATTTTAATTTTATTTTTACTGCAAAACATTTCATACAAATAATTTCCAAGTAAATAGTCAATTTGTGATGACACAGATAATGTAATCACTTTTTCATTAAGTGGCAATTTGTCAAAATTATGCAAAATCCAACTGAAAGCAATACTTATGCTCTTCCAAAAAAAAAAAAAAAATAAATAAAATAAATAAATAAATAAATAAATAAATTAATAAATAAATGCTCCTACAAAAAGCACTAAAATGCAGAATTTCATGTTCAGCATGTTGTGTGTGGTCGTGTCAGACAAATTTGCACAGAACTCGTCTTGAGTTCTTGAACCCACCTGGAACTTAATACTCACACCCCAATGACACTGCCCGAGGTGAAGTTAGAGTTCCGGCATCAGAGGGGTTATTCTCTGTATGTGCAGCATTTCATAGTGAAACACTGCACATAGTCCCCAGGCACAATGATCAAGGTGCTTAGAGTAAGCCTTTAAGGAACATATGTTTAAGAAATCAGGAGCACTTGTTTCCTGAATGTTAATCTAGTTCAACTGGTTGCTTTTTGTAGCCTTTAAATTCCATTGTGGTTCTCTCTTTAGTAGTGAGCACATTTTAAAGTAATGTTTATTTTCTGTAAGAAGTTAGGTAATACTTTCTGAGAGAAAGGCAGCATACCCTCTGATCATGTAGGCACCATCCTGGCCAACTTGACAGCCTTTCCAGAATCATGCAGGAAAAGTATTAAAACATACAGATGTAACTCCTTACGGGAAAGCCATTGCCCCCGACATGATAACAGCAGACGTCTGCCTCATACCTAAACCAGGTAAAGACCACCCTGACCCAGGGCACTAGCGCTCGATATCCCTACTGAACTGTGACAAAGTGCCCTTCGCCACTTGTGCATGGAGAGGACTAATTGCCAGCCTCCTGCCCTGTGACTATGGCCCCTGGAAGATTTTACCCTTTAGGTCTCGCTCCCCAGATGCAGTATGTCTTATCGGGAGAGGAGACAGTCGGCCTCCCTCCCCAGCAGCTGAATGTGTTAGTGGGAGAAAAGACAACCGGTCTCCCTCCCCAACAGCAACCAGAGGTAGGGGACTGGTCCTTGGAAGCCCCCCAAACAGCAGGTGGACATGGGACCGAGGTCTCTCTACCGGCCCTACAGGGATGCTGGGCAGCCGGCCCAGATCCCCAACTGCAGTTGGAGCCCCAGGAAGAGGAGGCAACCGGTCTCTCTCCCCAGCAGCAGCAGGAGTACCAGGAGGAGGAGGTAGGCGACCCCTCCCTTCCACAGCCAACCCCTAACCCGGTACTGGGTTTAGTGGAGAAGATGTTAGCCTCCACTGACCCCCTTCCAGCAGAAGAGCTGGCATCCGGGCAGAGTGCAGTCGACCTCTGTCTTCCCTTGCCCTCTTGGTCAGAGCCTGAATACCCACCGGCCAACCAAGCAGAAGCGCTGGCATCAAGGCAGAGCGCCGCTGGTCTCTGTCCACCAGTTCCCCTCAGCAACCTGGGACATACAGGCCAGAGCTGGCCACCAGAAATCACCAGGGGCAGTAATGGTGTATACTCTGTTAACTGTTTATTGTGGGTGGGCCACTCGACTTACTCAGGTACTGACCAACAGAAGGTCAGGTACCTGGTTAGTCTCCCCCCCAATGGGAAGATGTGTGACGAAGTGCCCTTCGCCACTTGTGCCTGGAGAGGACTAATTGCCAGCCTCCTGCCCTGCAACTATGGCCCCTGGAAGATTTTGCCCTTTAAATACGTTATTTGGGCATAGTGGATTTTATTAGACTGGTTTTGGCCCTTTAAATGCTCTGACAAAGGATCTGCAGTTTTGCTATGCACTTCGGATGCAGAGTGTGAATAAAACCCCTGTTTTATGGACTTAGTTTGACTGTTTTATCCCCCCCTCTTAGAACACCAGTTTAAACCCTTAATAAGTGTCATATTTTCAAACTCTGTCTGACCCTTTTAACTGTATTTTTGTTTTCCTCTGAGGAGGAGTTGTTTTGCTGCATGAATGCTGTTGCTTTTGTGTGCTCATTAAACAGACCTGCTTGACACTTTCCTGAAGCCTTGGCTCATGCTTGCGGGGATGGAATAAGTCTGCAGTGCTGATGGTGTCGGTTGGAATGCTTGGAGTCCTCGGCAAGCACTAGGAGCATCGATTGGCGGAGGTACTTGGTCGGAGTGCCAGCGGGTCCGTCACATTTGAACTTATCAAACTACTTACAAAAGCAATCACGAATAGACTGAACGCATGCCTAATCCACGCAGACCAAGTGGGGTTTATCCCAAATAGACAAGCGGCAGACAACCCCAGACGGACAATAGGCACCATCTGGTATGCCCAACACCACAGACTACCAACAGCACTGATTTCACTGGACACCGAGAAGGCATTTGACTGTTTGTAGTGGCCATTCTTATTTCAATTTCTACAACACCTCAAATTCCCCACCTGACTTTCTGACCATGTTACGTGCACTATATGCTACACCAACTGGTTGGCTACAAAATCCCCACTTTTCAAGTTTCCAATGGTACGCACCAAGGGTGCCCTTTATCGCCCTTTGGTTTTGTCTTATCCCTCAAACCCCTCTTAGAGGCAATTTGCCTCAATCATCGCATCGACAGCATAAGAGTTAGGGGAACAGAATACAAAGTGGCAGCCTATGCCGATGACATACTCCTCACACTCACGAACCTTACCACTTCTGTACCACAGATACGAACCCTTATAGATGACTATGCGAACCTCTCTGGCTACAAAATCAACTTCTGAAAAATCAGAAATACTACCTACAGCATCTGATACCCAACAACAGCGCGACATGCAGCAAATGTTTCCCTTCCGCAATGTACCGACTTTGCTCACCTACCTAGGCATATTATACCACCTGACCTCTACACACTTAATTACACAACACTACTCCAGACGGCCCACAAGGACTTACTATGCTGGAACTAGATAGGCAGATCATGGCTAGGGAGAGTCACAACCATCAAGATGAACCTATTACCAAGATTCCTCTATCTGTTGCAGACACTCCCCATATTCTGCTCAAACTCCATGACTTTAAAAAGCTACAATTGGCAATAGACAGCTTTGTATGGAGAGGCGAGAGTCCGCGGGTGCGGAGGGCCACAATATAGGTGCCTAAAATGCATTACCATGCAGCCCAACAAGCCCAGATACAGCAATGGCATACAGCGCCAGGGAGGAAACGCTGGGTGGATCTTGAACATACCTTCTGGGATGGGAACATCCCTCCCAATATATGTGGATCCCCAGAGCCCTGCTGGCTCTACCCCCACCCTCCTCACCAGCGATAACCCATTCTCTAGATTTATGGGACAGACTTAAAAATCAAATACAAGTACACCTCATTCCTCTCACCACTAACACCATTACTGTGCAACAAATTGTTCCCACCCAGCCAAACAGCGCAACACTTCCACAACTATGAAATTTTTTTTATTTATTTTTTTAAAATATAATAATAATGTATACAGACTCATGCATCTCTATAGAGACTCACAACCCCTAGAATACGCAGACCTACCAGACAGAGGGTGGACTACAAATCACTGACTTTCAGCTTTCTCCAATTGTGAAACCTAGCACACAACCCAGCAGTCAAACAAGCAGGCACAGCACCACCCACGACATTTGAACGGCAAAGCATGGACTCACCCTCATGTAAGGGGCAAATCTCCAACCTATACATATCCCTGACAACACATCTCACAACTCCGGCATGTGGAACATGTTTCTCCCACACGTGTCCATAAACTCCCCTACCATTCGGACTGACTCAGCAGCTTCCACTGATTTTGCTGCCATATTTGACAGTGAATGGCTTTGGGGTAGTTGGCCAGAGGAAGTGCAGGACATAGGGGTTCTACAAGAACTCAGCCCTTTTTGAGGTATATCCAATTGTAGCAGCAATGTCATGGGGCCATTTATGGTCAGGGAAACCAGTACAGTGCTTTTCAGACAACTTGGCAATCTGCCACATCATTAACAAAGGCCGCTCATCCTCATTAATGATGAGGGTTTTAGGAAACGGATGTGGCTAGCAGCCGGTCATCAGTTTTACTTAGTATGCTACCATGTCCCAGGCATTTTGAACACAGCAGCTGATCAGTTGTCTTGTTTCCAATTTCAGGCTTTCAGAATGTCCCTACTTACCGCTTCACGATTGGCCACGACCGGCTCCCTGTTCCAAGATCTTATCATGGATTAGACGAATTACCGTGCCATAGCAAGGTTCTGATACAACTGGCCCTATCCACTAACACGCATAGCGCATATGACAGGGCGTTTTTCTTGTATCACAGGTTTATGTCAGAACATCACCTGGCCAACTTGTTTGACATAACAACATTGGTGGCTTTCGCCACTCCAAGATAAAGTTATCACACAACACCATAAAATTATACCTGACATACATCCAACACCATATGTTCTCCGCTTTTCCCAACAATGCAAGCTTTCTCACAGCATAACCCATCAAGACTATGCTTAACATCATATCCAATGCCTACCCCACAACATAGGCTACCAATAACAAACAATTGTTCAAAAATATGTTGGACTTACTGGATACAACACCATTCGAACCCCGCACTAACTGTCATAAAAACAGCCATATACTTGGCCTTCTATGGCTTTCTGAGGCCACAATAAATTACTATTAGGGGCCAACAAAACGGTCAAGGTTGCCTTCACACCTCATACCTAAGCAAACAGCAAGACCATTACATACTAAGCCTACCTACGACTAAAACAAGTCAAATGGGTCAACTCGTTCACATTCCATACTACCCCACAGACAATTCATGGTGCCCAGTGAAGGTTCTCAATGCCTACCTCCTCACGGCAATCTAGCTTCACTCCCTCTTCTGTCACTTCACAGGGCTATCCTCACCACTTCTAAGTTTATGGTATATGTACCCTTGTTATTGACAAGACTCGGCTTGAACGCTAACAAGTATTCGGGACACTCGTTTAGGATAGGGGCTGCATCTACAGCATCAAGCCAGGACATTCCAGTTCATGTTATTAAGACTTTAGGTCACTGTAAGTCATCAGCTTATACAGTATATATACCCCAACCAGTACAGGAAATACAGAAGGCATTCGTTAAGATGTCCTCGTAAAATGTGTATGTGTTATAACATGTTTTTACGCAATAAATGTATTTGAGCAAGATTGGTATTCCTTTTTGTCCACTTTATTTACAGGCCTACCACCTACGTCGGTATCAGCACACCTCAGCCGACTTTTCCTATTAGGGGTTGTTGACTTATCTCCATTCATATCATAACTGAGATTGCCCCAAACACACACATATATATTCCAAGTAGATATTAATTTTATTCTAACCTTTAACTTTTTACAGGCAGCAGGGGGACTACATGTCATTCCAGGCACTCCCCCTGCTGGCACTGCTATGGACAGCTATTCTGTCCATGTGACTGTGAGGTCCTCACAAGGACCTCGCGATCACATGGCCCAGGAGGCCGGATCGGCAGCAGAGGGACACCCTGGGAGGCCAGGTAAGTCCCCTCATCGCAGTCGCTGGCGAGCAGGTAAGTGTATAGGACGGCGTGGACGTGCTATGCTGCCCGCCAGCGTTTAGAGCCGGGTCCCCAAGGACGGCAAAGCACGCCCGCAGTCCTTAAGGGGTTAATCTGCATTTTGGACTTTATGGCAGAACCACTTCTTGGACATACATGTTCCGGCTGTGTCCCTTTTTTTCTGTATATCCAGACCTAAATCCTATTGGCTTCACCCTTCCACTATAGGTGCCCCTTTGGTGGAGAAAGCAGATATGTGAGGAGTCTCTGCATGCGTTTTAAGTAGCAAGTATTGCAGTTATAATGTTAAAATTAGTGTAGGACTCACCGATAATCACGATACTGTGACATAGTGGTGGGCTTAACACAATATGGCCATATGGTGTAACTGAATATTTTATTTTGCTAAGATAGGTGGTTTTAAGTAACCTTGTAAAATTTAAAACTATTTTTTGTGACTGCGTGCTGTTCCCTAATTTGTATTTTGCATCCTTGAAAAGACAGGAGCTGTCAACCAAAGATTTAGTAGATTGACAAACAAAATATAACAGACATAGAGCAGTATATATATATATATATATATATATATATATATACACACACACATATACATATATACATACACACACACACACACACACACACACACACACCAGATTTGAAAAAATTACAAAGAATGTGTTTCGACTTTAAGAAAGACCACAGGCAGACAAGGTGTGGCAGTTTCATGATGTCAGAATCCAGCACTCCCTAAGCCAATTCACAAAACTAGAACACCCATTAGAAAAAGAAACAGGCACGGTGGGAATAAACTTCAAAATTTAATTTAAAAAAAGAAGAAAAAAAAGAATGAAAAAAAAAATTGCCAATACTAAATCTTCCAAATTTAAAGGGGATCAAGATGACTTCAAAATGGGTAAACAAAGAAACTGAAAAAAAAAAAAACAACCAAAAACTAAAGGTTTAATCAAAAACAAACAGACAAAATAGTCATTTTTTTTGAATCCCAGAAGGGATACAGACAAAACTAATTTCATATGCAGAGAAATGAGTAGAACTCTCTCTCATTCAGATTTGGATGATACAAGATCACATAACCAGCAAAACCAAAATACTAACCCTCTTTAAGAGCCTCATGTGAATACACCATTACCACTCCAGAGCCGTTATACCTGAGCCAGTATTACACAGGCTCTATTAAAGGGAAACTCCAGTGCCAGGAAAACAATCAGTTTTCCTGGCACTGCAGGTCCCCTCTACCTCCCACCAATCCCCGGTTGCTGAAGGGGTGAAAACCCTTTCAGTTACTTACCAGAGGCAGCGACATGTCTCACGTCGCTGCTTCTTCCTCCGCCGCTCCTCCTCTTTATTACGTCGGCCGGTGGACGAGACTGATCCCGCCCACCGGCCGGGGAGACCTAATGCGCATGCGCGTCAGCGCATTAGAGCTCCCCATAGGAAAGCATTAAAAATGCTTTCCTATGGGGAAATGAGAGACGCTGGAGGTCCTCACACAGCGTAAGGGCGTCCAGCGACGCTCTATGATGCAGGAAGTGCCCTCTAGTGGCTGTCTAGTAGACAGCCACTAGAGGTGGAGTTAACCCTGCAAGGTAATTATTGCAGTTTATAAAAAACTGCAATAATTACACTTGCAGGGTTACGAGTAGTGGGAGATGGCACCCAGACCACTCCAATGGGCAGAAGTGATCTGGGTGCCTGGAGTGTCCCTTTAAATATCTACCAAGAGCACTGTTTACTTATTTGTTACTGTACTACGTCATAGGAAGTTTATTTCATTCAGTTACCAGTGGAAAGAAACCATATTAGGGTATTTACATTTTATATTGGCTTTGGCACACTGACACACTGAAGCACTTGCACTTTCTTGTGTTGTTGTATGGGCCATTGGGAGTCCAATCATATGAGATTGGGGAAGCCTGTACTATGGCACACCTATGATGTTTTAGTTATATGAACGTGAGATGGCAACCCTGGATTTTTAAAAAGAGCATAATCTGTCTTTATGTAACCACACTCCCACTTTTAAAAAAAACAGTAAAACTAATCATTTCCACACAAAAATGTTATAATTTCAATACTAAAAATAAAAGAGTCATCTAAGTTGCATACAATATACACATTCTTCATTTAACAAATTATTTTATTTAAGAAAATTACATTTTTAAACCTTTTTGAATTTATTTGATCTTTAAAATAAATTAAAACAGCAACAACAAAAATGACCAAAGCTGGGCGAAAAGCCATCTTGCATTGGCCTAAAAAAACAAACAAACAAAAAACAAAAAACAAAAAACTAATGATAGTCCTCGCCCAAAAACCTAAAAAAAGAGATTAAACAATTTCACTGTACAATTCATCCTTTATTTCCTCTGGAACACTTATCAACAATGAACATGTAGGAGAGGCAGTGCTCTACCCATGGCATCCTATTGCCAAGTCCTTAATTATCTAAAAATAGAGTCATCTAGCATAGTTTCTCTCACTAAAAACACAAACACAGCATCTATATTTCAAAAATATAAATAAGAAGTCACAAGAGGTGGAAAACAAAAACAAACCAACAATACAATTCACATTTTTAAAAGTTTTTTTTTTTGTTTTTTTTAAAATAAATGTAAAGATTTTCCTACCAAATCTATGTGCTACACTAAAACTACACTGCAATTTACTAACTTTGGCTCACTCTCTCTTTGCCATAGGCCGCTAGGGAATGCCCAGAACACTTTTTTCTAATCATGGGCATATCAAATGTAGTAAACTCATTAGTTAAAACTCCTCTATGGCATCCTCGGGTCCATTCAACTACTGTTAATAAAAAGGCATTAAACAACTGTTGGTAGAACTTTACAGTAGTACATGCTGGAACTGGCACTGGCCTTCACTCAGTTATTAAACGCAGGATGATTACAAATTGCACTGGATATTAGATCCAAGCAATAAATTAAATAGCAAGGTGTATCAGATCCAAGCAATCAAATGTTTTAAGTATACATGTGTTCAAAATATACAGAGGTATAGAACTATTTGTCAATACAGGACACCACAGTACTTCTAGCTCCTATCCACGTGAAAACACCTGCAACAAGTGTTTAAGACATACTAAAGATGGGGAGGGGGGAGAATTAAACAAATCACAAAATTATATATATATTTTTTTTTAAACCACACACAAAAACACACTACAAAGAAGTCCCTATGCAGCTTCCCAGAGGTGGTGTCAGGAAGCAAGACTAATTGCTCCGCTGGATCCAGAAATATCAGCAGGGGAGTTGATTTAACAAACACAAGTAAAAATAAGGAGCATCAGGTTATACAGAGTGCTTACTTTGAGAGGCTTGTTTACAATTGTTCAAAGTGGCCTGGGAGCCAGTGCCCAGGGTACACAAAGATCTCTTTTCATTTTAACCTTTTCACAACAATCTTTGCTCTGTTTTACATTTTATTCAATGTAAAGACAACAACAACCAGAAAAAAAACCCAGAACACTCGAGGTGGGAGATTTATCTGCTTCTGACATCATGTCTAGGAGTATAAGAGTTAACATTGTATCCACCATACATGGAATGCAGAATTACAATGTGCATTTATATTGTGGGCTGCGCGCACACACACATAACGAAAAATAACGTTGTGTATCATTCTAAAGCTAGGATTTCTCGTTAACCCTTTGTACGCCAGACATGCATGCAGATCCTTCCCTCCATTGACTAATCCCAGGCTCCATACAGGGGGATCCCTGACCCTGCCCAAGCCCTGCCCGCTCTCTCTCTCCAGGTTACAGCAAGCTTGAAACCACATAATGCAGAATACAAGAAACAAGCACTCACCCAGAATATGAAGTTAAAGATAAACAGCAAGTATTTGATACACTTCGTCCCTCCCTTGACTGGCATGGTGGTGAAGGATGGATGTAGTGAACACTGCAAAAGTTGATAGTTCACCCACGAAGTCTGGCAGGCAGGGTGTGTAATGGATGTCGAGGCTAGGCTTTCTTCAGTTACTTCTTGTACACACCACCCTCCCACATAATACACTGGAACAGCGACCCCTGTCTGTGGATATCCGCAGTACAGTACTCAGCTCACCACACCTACCTGAGTGTTGTAATCTTTCCTATTCTATTTCCTGTTGGGATTCCTGTATTCTCTGGTTTCAAATGAACTCGGCTTGTTTGGATTGACCTGGGCTATTTTATTTCGGTTCAGTGTGACCTGGCCAACCGTGTTTAGCAACGTTTTGCAGTGAAAAAATAATTTTTTTATAAAAAAAATATTTGCAGCAAGATTTAAGAATTTTCACTAAACTCAGAATAGTAGCAAATTAACTTTGTAAACATTGATGCAATAGCTGATCTGAAAAAAAAAAAATATCAAACTGCTATGTCTTATCTTATGTCTTAGTGCCCATTGCAGCCTCAGTTTTGCTGTTAGTGAATAACCCTGCAGAAATAAACAGGAACTGTTTTAAAACTGACAAGCGACATTCTGGTTTGAATTGATCATATTGAAAATTGGACAGCAATATTTAGGCTACAATAGATGAACTATGACTATACCTGAATTACTGAATTGTTCTATATTAGTTATTTTCAACTAAATGTTTTCAGTTCAATTTTTAATTTGCTGCAGATTGATGTTTAGTGAATAAAACTCTTGACTGTAAAACTAGCCTAACTGCAAAAAAGATTCTGCTAAGCCATTTTCATTCAACTTGTCAATTTCCCAATGAATAGGCTATGTTTGCTAATAGACACTGGCATTCATAGTCATAAGAATGACAATATAGAACATTTAGGTTTTTGTTCATTTAGTCAGCATACGAAAGCAAATGCATCAATAACAGAATTTCCACAAGACCAAAAGGATCGCCTATCAAATTTTGGTCTGCGCCATTCTGCCATTGCAGCGCTTTTTAGCAGACATGCCTTTACTCATAGCAAGGTGATCAGGGGCATAGAGGAGATAGTAAAAATGTTTATACTTCCCCCATGCACCTACATTCCAAGCTGCAAGTGAGGCATGTCAATAAATGTTTTATATTATCCCACAATTGCCCCAGTTTAACGAACGCTCAATATACACACCCTGTGCCCCCACAATGGGGCTTTTTATTTTGAAAAACAAAATGGGGAGGTTACAGTGCCTCCTTAGTGATGTTAATGCCTGAAAGAACAAGGTGTCTTCCCTGTGCCCCCACCCATGTGCATCAAACGGGGGACGTAAAATAAAAATACTGGGGGGTGGCCATAACTGTCCACTTCACTACCCCCAACAGTGATCAGCAAATGGGACATACTTACTAAATGGGGGAACTAATGTCTCAGGGTTTGTAATATTATTGTAACATAATACAATAGGAGACCTTGTGTCGGGTGGGGGTTTTAATATTGATAAGGTAGACACCTAGTCTCCCCTACCCTTGGGCAGTGGATGGGGGCTCTAATATTGATGAGAGGAGAACTAGTTTCCCCCACCCACGGGTAGCAGGTGGGGGCTCTGAACGCAGTTATACAGAATTATACAGGAGAATGAACATGTTATTGTCCAACCCCCAATAAGTGGCATGGCCCACACACCCCCTTGGGTTGCTAGGTGTCTGACCTTTAAATTAAAGGAACACTACAGGCAGGGCCGGTGCAAGGATTTTTGCCGCCCTAGGCAAAATAAAAATTTGCCGCCCCCCATGTGACATCACAATGCCCCACCCATATGATCTGCCATATGAACTAACGCCAGTGCAGCACACAGTGTGTGTTTACATTAAAAAGCCTGCAGGGACAGACTATAGACACCAGAACCACTTCATTAAGCTGCAGTGCAGGGTTGAGGAGAACGTGGGGGGAGGGGAGGAAGTGTCCACTAAGGAAGAGGGGTCGTGAGGAGAATGTGGGAGGGAGGGGGATGAGGAGAATGTGGGGAATGTGGGGACCACTAAGAAAGGGGGGGCAGAGAGAAGAGACCACTAAGGGACACGAGAGGAGAGACCACTAAGGGGCAGGGGAGAGCTCTAAGGGATGGAAGGGAGAGCTCTATAGGACAGGGAGCTCTTTCACACTACACACACACACACAATGTATCCCTATACATACACAGAAACACAACATGCTTCTCTTACACACAGAGAAACACACAATGCATCCATTACACACATACACACACACACAACGCATCCCTTACACACACATGCAAACCCACACTGCTTCTCTCACATACACACAAAAACACAATGCATCTCTTACACACACTCAATGCACCCCACACAGACACAAACACTGCATCCCTTACATACACAGAAATACACCTTGCATCCCTTATGCATACAAAACAGAAAATTTATGCCATACTTACCGATATTTTATTTTCCCGGATATATGCCATCACAGCACTACATATGGGTATAGCTCCTCCCCTTCTCAATTGGACAGGAACACCTCCTAAATAAAAGAGACTCCCCCCTATACCCCCTCAGTCTTAGTTTAAAGCCACGGAACAACACATGATTTCAGAAGAGGGTGGGACCGCAGTGCTACCATGGCATATATCCAGGAAAAGAAAATATCGGTAAGTATGGCATAAATTTTCTGTTTTCCCCGGATATATCCATGGCAGCACTACGTATGGGTTATACCCAAGCTAAAAGGAGTAAGGGAGGGAGAATAATAACCACAACGCATAAATCCATGCAAATACGGTTTATTGATCCACAAACTATAAGGCAGCAGAGAGGACACTTCTACCAAATTCTGTGGTAGATGAACACACTACATCCAACTGATAGTGATTGATAAACGTGTTGAAGGAGGACCATGTTGCTGCCGAACAAATGCGATCCGCAGAAATGTTGGCTGCAGCTGCCCAAGAAGCGGCCAAGGATCTAGTAGAATGAGCTCTAAGGCCTTGAGGGACAGGGACTCCGGAGGATGAGTAGGCCTGACTAATGGCTGAGATGATCCATCGGCCAATAAGAGACGAAGAAGCGGCTTGACCCTTCTTGTAACCTGAAGGAATAATGAACAGTCTAGATGTCTTCCTTATGACTGAAGTCTGGTTCAGGTATGTAGATAAACAGCGCACCAGATCCAAACAATGCCATTTTTCTTCTTCTTCCGATGAGGGATGAGGGATGAGGGAAAAAGGCTGGCAAAATGATGTCCTGATTCATATGGAAAGCAGAAACCACCTTGGGTCTGAAGGCTGGAATCGTACGAAGGATCTTCCTGAATAATCAAAAAGGGAGACTCACAGGAGAGAGCGCTTAGCTCGGAGATTCTTCTGCCTGAGGTCAAGGCAACCAACAGAACGGTTTTCAACGTAAGAGTAAGTATAGAAACACTTTCCAAGGGCTCAAATGGAGAACCAGACAAGGCCTGTAAAACCAGAGGTAAATCCCAAGGAGGGGAGCAAGACCGTACTGGAGGGCGAAGCTTGAGAATGGCTTGAAAAAATCTAGCAATATCTGGATCAAATGCCAATTTCCGATCTAACAGAGCAGAGATAGCTGAAGTATGCACTTTTAGGGAGCTGCGACTCAAACCCTTGTCAAATCCGTCCTGTAAAAATTGAAGGATGTCACAGATACTGGGAGACAAAGGAGAAATATTATGTGCCAAACACCAGCTACAGAAGATGTCCCAAATACGATAGTAAACTGAAGAAGTGGACTTCTTCCTGGCATTCAGAAGAGTAGAAATTACTGAAGAAGAGAAGCCTTTGCTGGAGAGACGTTGCTTCTCAATTTCCAAGCCCTTAAATTGAGAGACTGAGGAGATGGGTGAGAGATCGGACCTTGTTGTAGGAGACTGAGTTGGTCTGGGAATTTCAGAGGCATGTCCTGAGAGAGTTTCTGCAGCAGGGGAAACCAAGGCCGTCTGGGCCAGAAGGGAATCACTGCGAGAATCGTCGCTTGCTCCTGCAGGATCCTTCTCAGCAGGGGGAAAATCAGAGGAGTTGGGGGAAAAACATACCCCAGATGGAACTTCCACTTGCAACAGAGAGCATCCTGGTTTTCCGCCAAAGGGTCGAAGTAACGCGAGAAGAACCTTCCCACTTTGCGATTCTGCGCTGTGGCCATCAGATCTACCTGAGGAAGACCCCACTTCTGGACTATGCTTTGGAATGCCAGAGGGGCTAACTCCCATTCTGTGGGATGCAGGGTTATACGGCTTAAGAAATCCGCCACTTGATTGTTCTTTCCTGGAAGGTAAACTGCCTTTATCCCCTTCAAATTCTTCTCTGACCATGACATAAGTGGGGTCAACACTTTCATTAAGCGTTTGCTCTTTGTACCCCCCTGATGATTGATGTAAGCAACTGCAGAGGTATTGTCTATCCTTACTCTCACCCAACTTTGTTTCAGACAAGGAAAGTGCAGAAGAGCCTGGAAGACTGCTTGCAATTCTAAAACATTCAAGGATAGAGGATACTGTTTGTTTTCCCACTGCCCCTGAACATGAAGAAGGCCCAAATGAGCTCCCCAACCTGATTGGCAAGCATCCGTCGTGAGAGTAACCCAAGGGATATTGCTCAGAGGATACCCTTGAAATAGATTCTCGTTCATCAGCCACCATGCCAGTTCCTTCGTGATCTCTGATGATTAAGAGATTGCTTGCTTCAGATCCTTGTTCATAAACTGGGATAGAAACCCTTCTTGTGGAATCCTCATATGCCACTGGGCCCATTTCGTAAGGCCTATTGTAGAGGACAAACTTCCCAGAAGGCTCATAAATTCCCGGGCCGGGATGGAGTTCAGAAGCAGAAGACGAAGGATCTTTGATTGAATACGAAGCCCCCTGTCCAAGGATAGGGAGACCTGTGACTGGATTGTGTCGAATCTTGCCCCTAAGTATATCATAACTTGAGAGGAGGAAAGCTGACTCTTCTTGAGGTTTACCAACCATCCAAATTTTTGAAGAATTGAAAGAACCCGATCTCGATGAAGAAGGAGAATATCTCTGCTGTGTGAGAGAATCAAGATGTCGTCGAGATAATGGAATATTGAGATGCCTTCCAGACGGATATGTGCTATTAAGGCAACCAGGATCTTTGAGAAAGTCCTGGGAGCTGTGCTCAGGCCAAAGGGAAGGGCTTGAAACTGAAAATG